ATTCAAATTTTAATTTTGACAACATACGTAAAAATAACGAAAATTCGCAAATTATTTTAAGCTAGAAATTCATAAAAAAATTTCTTTTTAAATCTAAGATTTGAAAATTTTTAATAATCTATAATATATCCTAGACAGATAAACCGTCTCCGCTCACAATCGTTTTTCGTATACAATGATATAATATCATTGGATTTAAATTGAATTCCATCCATAACAGTAACCCACTTGTAACCTACTGTACAGCAGAGCGACATCCACGACTTACTCGCTTTTTAAAATTATACAGGTCATTAGGTCAAGTTCATCTAAAAAAGAACTTAATGATAACGTATGATAATATGTCATTAATATCCAAATTATGTGTTGATGAACATTCGACTAACAAAGTTGTATAAGAATCTGTGTGTAAATCAATTGAAGACGCAACTTATCGGTCTTGTACTGCAGTATGGCACATATTCAACTAAAAAGTAAAAATGATTTAAACAAAGTAAATCAGTGTTATGAAAAGTATTGGGCAGCAATATTTTCATTTGCACTTTGTGCTGTACTATTTACTGAATATTAAGCAGCCATGTTTGAATCATTTATAAGATAAATGTWGATGTAATTATTAACTTCCTGTGTATTTTATTTTAAAAATATTGTTAGTTTGTTATTATTCCTACCATGAACTTCATTAAAGTAAAAATAAATAAATACTTTATGTTTTGTTTTATTTTTTATATGTATAGGTCTATAATAAAATGCTTTATATTGCCCGTTTTAATATTATCAAGCTTAAACTAGGTTTATAGGTATTTATTGTTTATCATTATTGTTCTACTGTTTTGCTGTTTATTGTAGAAAATATAGTGCTGTCTTTATTTATTTCCGTATAAATATGAAGAAATGATTTCTCTTGAATTGTGTACCTACAACCTAMCACTTAATGAAGCCTTAATGAGTTAATCATGTGATTTTTTGAAAGATTTTATAAGTTTAATTTTGATTTTCATTCAACTTATGATTTGTTTGATATACCTCTGTAACTTTAAATATACATTTTCGACGGGAAATTCTGAGCTTATAGTTATATCCATAAAATTGAAGAYCCTAATAATCTGGAATAAWACACGCACTAACTCTATAATTTAAATCAAAATAAAATACTTCGTTATTAAATGTGTGTTATTTAAACATATTATATAGTATTTTGATTCAAAACTGGTCACTGGACCACTGTAGAACGATCGAATTTCAAACAAAAAGATACCAGTTAYTTAAGTGCGACCGTACAAAATTAAATTACCGAAATAGTTGTGTGGAAAATTAACAGATAGGTACCTAACAAAAAAAATGTTCACTGAGATAAACAATGAGGATTGTATTACCTACGATTTTCTGTAATGAAACCAGATGTTTATGCCGTTTCCAAAATATTACTTACAACTTTCCCTGTGAGCTAGATATATAAATTTAAATAACAAACTACAAGAAGATTTTTTATAGTTTATTYCAGCTAATAATTACTGCTTTATTAAAAAGTTTAGACATTAGGCTATTAGGCTTGGTTAAAAGTAATTTAGTTGGACAAGGATATGACAGTTCAGGGGACATGAGTGTAACACAGTTCAGTCTAAAACACCTACAGTAAAATTATCCAAATGCAATGTTTATACATTGTACACTGCGCGGCTCATGGATAAAATTAAGAGGAAGTTATCGAACTTATTTGTTTTCTCTCTCTGACCCACTTGTAACACAGCATATTATCGCTTAGAAGAACCAAACCGCAGTGTTAATAGTAGAGTGAATTCAACTATTATCAAACTTAAATCTATGAACATTATAGCTAGCTGTGTCCCTCTATGTTGGCTGTTTTATAATATTTTAATTTGTACATAAGTTATTAGGTAGACTTTATAAATAACTTTWAAAAAATAAAAATAAAAATATTTTGAAAATTATAAAATGATCATTAACATTACTTGGTGAAAATTTGAAGTACCTATGATCTAAGATTATGTGGTAGTTTTTGAATAACTACACTGGAAAAAAAGATTTTGCGTAAAATTTAAATTTTTA